TTCGTGGTGCACTGTGGGATACTTTAAAGGGATAGTGCACCCAAAAATGAAAATTCAGCCATTATCTACTCACCCATATGCCGAGGGAGGCTCAGGTGAAGTTTTAGAGTCCTCACATCACTTGCAGAGATCCAAGAGGAGAGGAGGTAGCAACACAACTCCACCTAATGGAGGCTGACGGCGCCCCAGATTCAAACGTCCAAAAACACAAAATTGAATCCACAAAATATCTCCATACTGCTCGTCCGTAGTGATCCAAGTGTCCTGAAGCCCCGACACAAAAAGTTGTTTGGAAAAACGTCATTTGAACTCTGTTTTTAGCCTCATTGTAGCCTGTAGCTCTAACTGCCTCTCTGTGCACCGAGCTCACGTGTGTGCGCTTGCACGAGACCGTGAGACAAGGGCACCACCTTCATGTGCGTTCACGTGCTTTCGCTGGTCTTGTGCGCAAGCGCGCACACGTGAGAGCAGTGCCCAGAGAGGCAGTTAGAGCTACAATGAGGCTAAAAACAGAGTTCAAATGACGTTTTTCCAAACAACTTTTTATGTCAGGGCTTCACGACACTTGGATCACTACGGACGAGCAGTATGGAGATATTTTGTGGTTTCAATTATGTGTTTTTGGACGTTTGGATCTGGAGTGCCGTAAGCCTCCATTGTGTTGCTACCTCCTCTCCCCTTGGATCTCCCAAAGTGTTGTCAGGACTCGGCATATGGGTGAGTAGATAATGGCTGAATTTTCATTTTTGGGTGCACTATCCCTTTAAGTCTTTACTTACTTGAAGTATAATATATATATATATTCGGACAACACTACAAAATGGCGAACTCACTATATAGTGGACTATGTAGAGAGAGAGTAGTGAGTGATTTCGGACACAGCCATTACAGTAGCAACCGGAAATTAAAAGACAAAACCGGAAACGGATCGATGACAAAGTAAAATGGGCGCCATGTTTAAAATGCAAGTTGTGCGCAGCTATGGCGAGCTGCGTAGGGAGTGACGTCAGAGGGAAGCAGGTGAAGTTGATGTCCGTTGACTATTAAACTTTATACAAACATCAACAAAACCTAACGGTCACTACTCCTGAAATACGAAACATAAACGGACGGTTTTCCCCTTTATTATAACGGATACAACGTTAGCAACGTTTTTCAAATTAGCTTAAAGAACCGAGAGTTAGCATGTTTGCTAACGTTGCTACTGTGTATTTTCTTGTGTTAACAAAATGTAGCTGGCAGCAGTGGACGGTGGATTCATGGAGGTTTGGTTGGAAAACAGCTGCTGACGTAGAGACTGAGCTTATCTGGATGGATGGAGATGGAGAAACTGTGGACCAGGCAGCCAAAATATGGGAAACTACACTGTATGATGTGGTTTTTGGACACTTTGCCACCATGAGGAGCTTCACACAGGTGAGTCAGACACATCTCCTTTCTCTGCTCTGTGCTGTATCGTGGTTATATGCTTGTGATGGGTTAAAGTGAATATTGTTTGCCTGAATGTGTTTTCTGTTAGGCTATAGCCAGGGGCAGGTTATGGTCTACTGAGATCTGTCATTATGCTCTGTGTTGCTGGATTAGTGTGGTTCTTGTTGTGCTTTGAGTTGGTACACTGATAAAAAATACTCTGTGCTATTGTTGTGTCCTATAGATAGGAGGGGTGTGTATTTGATGCAGCTGTTCTTGGTATCCAAGCTCTTCCATTCAGCCTATAAGTCTTCATAAAGAGAACTGAATAAATAGATGAGGGACATGTAAAAGTCCCAGTTTGTTTTGATGTGAACATCAGCTCTGTGCAGAGACATTTTTGGGGGCAGGTGCTGAAACAAAAAAAGGTGCACCTCTCTCATAATTCATCCATTTTCAAACTCTTATCTGAAGCCGGGTCACAGGGGCAGCAGGCTGAGCAAAGTATGCCAGACATCCCACAAACGCTTTCCAGCTCTTCCTGTGGGACCCCGAGATGTTCCCAGACCAGATGAGATATGTAATCCCTCGTGTGTTCTGGGTCTGCCCCGACACACTGAGGAGGATTTCTGCCTCAAAGTATTCCAGTATTAAGTTAACAGATTGCTGAAGAGAGAAGAGTCTTTTGGGAGGTAGTTTGGTTCATTTACATCAAATTCAGCTTCTTACAAACATGTTTCTTGTCTTCACGCCTTCAAAGCAAGGCTTATTTTATATTTTCTCTTGTTTATACTTTCCCATCAGACCACTTTAATTTAACCTGTGATCCAGCTGAATTCTTTGTTTACCGTTGGTTCAGAAATAAAATTACATTCCTCTTTTTTAAATTTCAATCCACTGCTCAAGAGATGGGAACAATAAAGTTTGTGTACACAAGAAAACCGCTGTGATTTAATTTAATAGTCACATACTAATAGGTGTTTGGCGCAGGCCAGACTTATAACCTAAAATAATAAATTAGACCAAGAAATAGAAATGTCTTGCAAAAAGGGCACATATTGTGTCAGAGGGCAAAAGAGCAGGTGCTTGAACACCACCTGGGGTCTGTCTGTGCATGTGCCTGGTGAACACAAATCTGTTGTTGTCTTAATGCCACCTGGATTTGAAATCTTTTTTTGCATGTTTTAAAAGTTTTTACATGAGATAGTACTTAAAATCTAAAAAGCATTATCTCTGTTTTTACCAGTATTGATGACCTACGTGTCACATTGTGCTGCTTTAGAGGTTGCTGCTATGCTATGAATTTTCTTTCGCACAGCTGTCTGTTTCTAAACTCAGTCGATGCGTGTTCTATTGTGAGTAAATAAGAAATGTCAATCTGATTACAAGGCTGTCCACCTACTGCACTCTGTGTACTGTGTGCTGTCACCTCCATGTTCCCATTAGTGTGCTGCTGACAGCAGGCTAGACATGGCAGCTTCATGACATGCCCACAGACCAAGCAGAACTCTTTTACCTGGCTCCTGGTTTGTGGTGTGTCAGTTAGTACATGGCAATTTGATTAAATGTAAGTTTACTGGACTAAAGGGTGAGCTAATAGCGGCCTTGGGGGTTCTGGGGACCTGTTGGTTTAGTTGCCCAGTAAGTTGGTAATCTAACCTTGCTTTGATGCCTCCCAGTAAAATCAAAGGTCTACATTGTTGTAATTCCAAAAAAGCAGTTTTTCCAGTTTTTATCTGCTGAAAACACTCATGTACACACGCTCACGTGCTTAAAAATGTCCTGGAGTATTCTTGTAAGGATTCACACATACCTGATCTCCAAATCTTTGACCTGCCAACACACAGAAGATCATACACTGTGTTTTCTTGAGGGGAAACTTTCACTTGTTCCTCTGTAAGTCAGGACATGTTGTGACTTTAACAGTCCTCAAGAGAGAGTTGTAACCATTGCTGGGAGAGTGACCTCTCTCCTGTAAAGCACATGAGCTTTCTGTATTTATTTACCATCTACAAAAAAAATATTTACAGCTCATGCAGTCAGTCATATTAGCTGTAATATGAGTAAAATGTTATCACAAATATCATGGTATTATTATTATTATTATTTTTTACAAAATCGTGTAAAAGGTGTGCCTTTGAAATGGTGCAAGCTGAATATCACAAGACCAGGGAATGTGCAGTCCTATTAACAATAAAATATAAAGTATTAATACAAAACTGAGGAAATTCACAAGTTACAGCAGCTCAAACGTCTGAAGCAAAAGAAAAAAGGAAAATAAGTGACTGAGTGATGAGTAGAAAACACGGCAAAAATAATAAAAGGAACATATTGAAAAGTCAATTATTTCACTCTATTGTCATATACACACAGGCCCGGAATACACACACACACACACACACACACATAACCTATACATGGATTAAATGGAGAGATGCCCGGGTGAGGGGGCAGCTCACGGACAGGCGCCCCAAGCAGTTGGGGGTTTGCTGTCTTGCTGGGACTGGGTGAACTGGCACCTCTCGCATCTCCGTATGGACTGTTACTGAGCTAGAAGCTATATATGTAATCAATAACTTACACCCAAGATGTTTTAAATCATTGGCCCCCAAAATATGAAGATTTCTTTTATTGGTAAACCAAATCAGAACATAACAGAACAAAAAGGGTCCAGTCCCTTTAATGTCATAACTGTAGACAAGGGATGATAATGATTAATTGCTGATTGATTAATCAGTCGTCATTAAACATGAATTTTAATTGATCAATCGACAGGCTATGCAGTGCTTTCAGAGTATGGTGCTGTGAGCTTTGATTGAGGAAAAAATGCATTTGTTATTGTTTGGTGTAAGCACAGTGTTATGTTTGTTTTGAAAATCAAATGATTGTTAATTTTGCCAATAATCGATAAAGGAAAATGCTTACAATCTGCACCCCTACTGTACACCTAAATAATTACATTCAGGTTATTGCACTTTTATACACATTTTTAGCATTTTTTAACCACAGTTTTGATATAAACTATATGTCCTCTTCTTTATGTGATCACATGACAAACTCAAACTTGTACTCAAGATTCTATTTGTATAAAGTTTTACATCATGGCTTGTGCTGTATGTCATGTGCGTATAAAAAATGCACACGGTGCGTTGAATTTGCGCTACGTCACCAGAAGATGGCGGAATCTCACTGCGTAACGAGGACTGAACCGCTTCTTGATATCTCCACCTGCATGAGGCCATGTGGTCCTGAGGAGAGGCGAGAAGCAGTGATGAAGAGTCGTCATCTCGGCTTCGCATATTTAATGCTCATCTCATAAAATCTAAATCAATTAAAAATTCACATATAGTAAATTCCACGTTCATTCATAACTCTGGGAATTAAATTAAGGACAGCAGCGCATAATAAGGTGGGGTTTTCAGTTGAATATATACAGCGTGTTTTTTTTTAACCAGTTTTTGCTTCCTGCACACCGCAGATGAAGAAGACTCTTATCGATCCGCACACCGCCTACTGGGTCTCCTTTCCTTTTACGCAGAGCGGTCCACAAGAGGGGAAAAGGCCACTGGCTTCCAGAGCAGCATCTCTTTGTTGTCTCCCACCTCCACTTTCAAACAGGACCACGGCTTGGCAAGACCTGAAAGGCATCATGTGACTCTGCATCTGCTCTCAGTTGTGGCAAGATAACCACGCAACGAGGGAGAGAGGGAGCGAGGGGGAGAGTTGAGGAGGAGCTTGCAGCGATAAGATTCAGTCCACGCGCCATCAGCATCTCAAACTTGCAGCCTCTCCATCCATCCTCATCTCTCTCCGGCGCACACAACCCACTGGCGTTTTATTTAGTTTCCTTTCTCTCATTCTCCGTTGGAAGGTGCACAGGTGCATCCCGCGGTTCATACTCGCTCTGTGCTTAGTTGATTATGGTCACAACCCCCGCGGTGCCAAGGTGGAGTCACCCCGCGTATCTCGGATCGGTGCGCTTCTCCAGGGGCTGGGATGCGCACCGGGCACCTCTCGCTTCCTGCCTAGTTTCGGGTCTGAGCAGGACTCAAGCGCGGCCCCAGGGCGCCGAGGAAGGAGGACCCAGTCGACCCGGAGCAGGATGCCGGTGATGAGAGGGCTGCTGGCCCCGCAAAACACCTTCCTGGACACCATCGCCACCCGCTTCGATGGCACCCGTGAGTAACAAACGATGATGATGATGATGATCCCCTCTACGCACAGCTGAGATATTGTTTACTTCATATACACTATTTCTTTCCCTCAAACGTGCATGAAAGAAAAAATGCAATATGGAATTTTGCATGCAAATTGCGCCTGTATGCACATTTAGGAATATTGCAGAAAAATACAACTTTGAAAGTTTAAAGGATTTTCACTCTACCTAATAAATTAAAGGGATAGTCTGTCATTGTGTCAGTCTACAAAAGGAAAAGGTTTATTGGATGATATAATGTGCACCTGTCTGCACAAGAAGAGGTCAAACCATGCTTTTACATGATGGGCTACAAACAAAGCACATTTCAAATAATCAAGTTCCACACATGCATCATGAGCAGTAGTCTGGTTTTCTCGGGGATGGCAGTGTAGTGATGGATACTAAATGTTTTCTGCAGCTGAAGGTTGCATGAGATTTTGCCAGCTGTTGTAGTTGTGTGACCGAGGCTTCCCTCAGTTCCTTTGTGCACCACTGTGGCCATTGTGTCTCCTTTGCGCACATGTCCAGGCTGCACTCGTCTCTTTTACGCATCAAACTCAGAGCTTTTGTGCCTCATGTCCCAGCTGAGCCTGTTTTACCCTGCTCTCCATCACAACACTCTTTAAGCAATGCTGCTGGGGAGAGAGAGGTAGGATACACAGAGCGTTTTTTTTTTCTTCCTTTGGCGAGGGTGTCTTGTGAACAGATGCGATGAGCAGCCCGTGTGTGTTTGGGCCCATGCTGGGTAGGTGGGCGGGTGAGAGATGCTTATATCGCGTTTGGGCCACTCGTCTCTCCTTCTGCGTTGAATATTCAGGACAACAGGAGTTTGTGTGAGTCTGCGAGTGGGGTGAGCCCCCCCCTTCCTCAAACCAGTTATGTGTGACAGCATGATAGAGGAGATTATTCGACCGTGCAGGGAGCAAGTCGCTTACAGGCAGATCCCGATCTCACTCAAGGTTTTTCCAAGTCCTCTCCTCTCCTGACAAAAACACAGTAATAGTGCCTCTTGCTTTCGTCGACAGGACATTTAAATGCTCCGACTTTGAAAGGCAAAGTGGGTTGTTAGTGCCGTCTCTTAGTGAGGATCTGCTGTGGGGACAAAAAGAAACATATAGCTCCTCTGTGCTGCGTTGTACTTTATCATCACACTCATCTCCCCACTGTTATGTGCCATATGACAAAGAGTCTACAAATACTACAAACACTATAATCATTTAGTCTGCATTATTCAGATGAAGACATGCACACACATGTACATTCACCCACCCCCCCGACCCCCACACACTGCCCTCACACATGCTGACACACAAACCAAACAGTAGAAACGATCATGTTCTGCAGATTAGCTCTCATCACGTCTAGAAGTGGTCGTGCTATTTTTCTTTGAGTGGCTAAAACACAGGCCTTCGTTTGCCGAGGTGCCGATAATTACACATCTCCAGCAGTACATGTGCAGTCATTGTAATTAACTCGCATGGATGTCAAGAATTCATCGTGGCCTTTCTGCTTGTCAGAGGAGGTGGAGGAGAAGGGTGGGGGTGAAATGAGAGGATGTGGGGGTGGGGAGGGCGGCCGTGTGATGGGAGAATGTGTGTAGCTGCTCCGAGGGGAGGAGGGAGGGGTATTTGGATGTCTAAATATAAATCCATTACGGGTCTCGCTGTGACAAACATGCAGCTATGTGTTTTTAAATGGTGACATTAGTTTCTCATTAAATCAGACACTTGAGAGAGAATGAAGGAGAGGGCCAGTTATGTGTCTGTCTGTGGAGGAGACGGAGGCTTTGTGTCTCAGTGTGTGTGCAGAAAGGCCTTTGTTGTGATTATGAATCAAAGGCAATCATGATTAGTTTAAAAAGCCACTCATCTCTGCCAGATCCCGTACCTGGAAGCTCTTCATTCTCTCTTGTTGAAGACTGTTAGCTGGCAGCGTTGGCGCCGCTCTTGGAAATCTCTGGGGCCCTTAAGCTCCAAGTTTAGAGCAGAAAAGACCAGTTTCATGCCTCCATCAAATGGGACTCACAGCTGTGTGTGTGTGTGTGTGTGTGTGTGTGTGTGTGTGTGCACGCATGTGTGGTGGTTGGTGCTAAAGGCGGCTGGACGGGGGAGGGATGCTCTACTGTGCTCTGTTGGTTGGTTGTCCATCAGTTGTCCATGCTCACGTGAAGCAATTTAAAAGTGTTGAATTTGTTCACGGCTATGAAAATTTAAGATTGTTAATATTTGATTGACCACAAAACATCACTTTATAAATCTGTCATATATTTTGAATTTGTAAAAATCTGGAGGCTTTAACAGGTTTGGAGATGCAGTCGTGGCGGGTATGAGCAGAGCCTGATGGAGGCTCCACATCCAGGCGTGTGTGGACACTGTAGGACAGCTGACAACAGGTACTCAGACGTGAGTACGGACCCTGCAGACCTCCCGCCTTTCTTCTGCTCCTGGTTCCCCGTAGCAGCCTCAAGCAAGCCCCACTGACCCTTGCTGTGGTCTGCTCCTCTGCCAGAGAACCAACAGGGTCTATGTACACAGCCAAAAGCCCTCTGTCGGCTTTCCTTCAGTGTTCACAGCCCCTCTGATGTGGAGCCATTGACCAGGGCTGTCTGGAATGGATCTGGAATACCATTTCGTGGCTTTGAAGCCTCAGTGGTATTACCTGTGAATATTTGAAGCTTTGATATTTCGCAACAAGATCAACCCAACCCGAACTGACTTTAGAGGGAGAGTGAAGAAAAGTGGGAAGGTGGACTATTGCAAGCAGTGTTTCTGTGCCGTAGGTCAGGCTGCTTTACTAGATGCAAAGCAAGTGCTTCACTACAGTCACAAGCTGCACATACCGGCCCACATTTTGTCTCACCTGTTAATTTCTCATTGGACAGCCAATTTAATTGTTTGAAGCAAGGGTCTCTGACTGCACTGATTGTCTTTACAGTATCGGCTCCTTTGAGTTGATATATGTAAATATACCAACCTTTTCTTTGCAAGGTATGGTGTCTCTGACATCATGTATACGTTTACATTAATAAAGATAAAATATTCATTTAATGCACTGATTTAGTGCTCCACTTGTATGTAGGTAGGCTATGTACGCTGGTCGACCATCTATTGTTCTTTGAGGGGCAAGTTGCAGTTACCTCTGCAGCCTCATGCTGCATTCATGTGGTGTCAGAATAATCTGAAAAATGGGTTTCCGGTCATATTTCATGGCTCAACTTTGCTCTTCATTATTAACATCTTGTTTGAGCACTCTGGGCAATAAAATACAACACATTTACTTTGTCGCCTCCACGTTGCTTTCGCATTACAACATAAAGCTCACAGACGTCGACTGTCCGAGGAGACCATGAATGCACCATCGGGGGTTAAGTCGAGTCAGATTCAGTTGCCTCTCGTTCACTCATCCTAGCAGGCAACAGTACCCTATGATAACAGCAAGTGGGAAAAGGGAGTCATGACTGCACTCTGACGTTCGACAGGCTGACCCGTTACATACCGAACACTAAAAAAAAGCAAACACTACAAGTGGTTAAAAAAGATTTGTTCTATCCTTTTTGCCTATCACTAATCCACTATAGCATCAGTCACGTGTGATGCATGTCCACTGGGCTCTAACAACTTTCTGCACTGCTTTGTGCACTGGCTGTGGCTCAAACACAACACATAAATAAAGATTGAGTAAAAGTGTTCACGTCGAACTCTTGTTGGCTTCAGATGCAGGATGGAATCAGACTGCACAGTGAATTTTACAAGCTCCAGCAAGGTGTTCGATCGCCTGATGGAGACCTTGCTAATACACTGAAGCACTTGTCAGTTTGGATAAATGCTCAGAGACTTGTGCCTTTCACTGTTAGCAGTTCCTTTTAAACCTGAAAGTAGAGATTGCACTGATCGAACTTTTGTCTCCTGCTGATACCAAGTACCAAATTGATAGGAGTGCTTCTTTTTCCCAAATCTAAAATCTGTATACCCTATTGACTCATTTATTTGTAAGACAGCATGAGACCAGGGACTGAATGAAATTACCAGCGGTGGATAGAATACATTTTTATAATTACACGAACCAAGAAACTATTTAATGTCAATGGATCAAGTCAAAGCAGACACTTGATTTTAAGGTTTGTGGACAGAAAATGAACTTGAAGATGCCACCTTTAGGTTTTGGAAAACTGATGTCCATTTTCTGACCTTTTGCAGTCTTAATGAGTCATTGATTAATTTGGAAAAAGTAATCAACAGAGGAATTTATAATTAAACTAAGTGTTTGCTGCAGCCCTTATCTGCACAGATAGTGTTTCACATCGATGCAGCCCTACCTGAAACCTTCCACACATCAGTGCCCCAGTGAATGCACACAATCTAATCAGTTCAACATGCTGAAAGAGATTCATGTCACATGTCAGACTCGTAGTATTACACTCTTAGAATAAGATTACAGCAGAAATTTGTATCATCGAGGCAATTCCTGTGCAGTTGACTCTAAAATGATTGTATCTAAAGCTGCTTAAGACACATGCATCAGAAGATCACCAAGATTATAAGAAAGAAGTAGCAAGTTTGCGGTTTGGATTTTTTCCGACTTGACCTGAGAGTGATCATGAAAGACGTGTGTATGACTGTTCACAGGGGCAAACATAGATTCACACACCTTAATATGGACATGAAGTGCTGCATCACACTGCAGTTTTACCTCACAGCTTCTGAATCACACACTCGGAGAAAGGTTATTATTTATAGACCCCTCTCATGACGAACGTTGTAGCCGACACCTCTCAGAACAGCCTGAGCAAAAGAACACATAGAACATACACACTTGCACATACACACCTTGTAAATAGAGAATTTGTTAATTGACGAAGCACCGTGCAAATTTATGTTTATTTCTTTTCCTTCTGCAATCAGCGGATTCATGCAGAGGAATTCGTGTATCATTCGAATCATAATTTTGAATTTGTTAATATGTGATAATTACAGTCTGGAG